TTGAACGATAGTACCAATATTATCAAAATAAATAATTAAAATCATACTTTAATTTTAAATTTAAGTTAAAATTATTCTTTTATAACACACATTATACCATCAGATATTTTTTGAAAAAAAAATAACCTATGCATTACACGGCTCAACTGCTAATGAAATAGAGTAGTTATCTTTTAGGCTCTCATTTAGATTGATTATTTCTTTCATTTGTCATTTGTTATTTATTTTTTATTATTTTCTTAGTCAATCAAACATAAAAATAATTTTTTTTAATAAAATACTCATTCTATTTTAATAAACTAAACATAACCTAAAAGAAAGGAGAAAAAAAAAACACAAAAAAAAGGAAGAAAAGTAGCATCATTAACCTTCCCATTTCGTTATCATTCATTCTTCTAACTTGCATACGTAAATTTAAAAAGGGAAAATGTCTCGTAGCTCAAATTTTGTGGCTCAAAAGTGGCTTAAATGGCCAAAACGACGTCGTTTTGGCCATTTTTATGTTGTTCTGTACTCAAAACGACGTCGTTTTGGTCATTTGAGCCACTTTTGAGCCACAAAATTTGAGCTACGTAGCATTGTCGTTTAAAAAGGTTATATAAATACATCAGTTTTTCTTACTTGTAACCAAAATGTTTAAGAACATTAAGTAAAATTCTAATGAGAGCTCTATTTATATGGTAGTGAGTCCCACTCATGAATGATTCGATGTATATGTCTTTTTTTTTTTATTTATTCCATGCCATATCATTAGTGTCATTGTTAAAGTTTTAAATTTAGAATTATGAATCATTGCTCTACTTATAATGAGAGGGAACACTACAAGAAAACATAGCAAAAAACACGGATGTTCGAACAATTCTTTTCTATATTATTATTTTTCATACTCTTTCATATTTTATTTTATGAATTTGATTTTGAGCTCACGATGATAATCCGAATCATTTATCTTGTAAACCTCAAATTTTGAGTTAATGAAAAAGATGAGGTAAAAAATTAGAATATCTCTAATTTTATTCTTCAAAAAATTGATGGATTTCTCAATGCTGCTATTAAATATGCAACCTAATATACGTGTAACAGGGGTGTGTACTGAAGGAGTTCCCAAAATTGGTACAATGAAAAATCGTGTATATATATATATATAATATACAAAAATCTTTCACAATAATATTTTTCTCATATTTAAGTTGTACATTATAAGAATTTTTTTTTCAAATGTGTCACATCAATATATATTTTCTTAATTACATATATAATTCTACACAAACCATTTTTTTTTTAAAATTCTACACAAATCTGAATATAATTTAAATTATATTAACTGTACTTATTTTATATAGACTCTTGACAAATATTTCTTTTCATATATTTTTCATCTTAAATTGAAATAATCCACAAATCCAGTACCAATTTTGCGTTTCTTGTTTTTCTTCTTAATTTTTTTATTAAGATATTTTTTTAAATGATAAATTGTTTTTTTTTATTTTTTTTTAATTTTCCTGTACATTATTCTATACCAAATGTTAATTCTATATTAAACTATATTATGGATTTGTCGTTTAAATTTTATAGTGATTCTATATATGAAATTATATTTAATTTATTACATTATTTTATATAATCACAACTTATAGGAAGAAAAACCTGCACAACAATGATATTCTCGAGGAACTTTTAAAGTTTGGATTTACTGTTTGAGTTACTTTTTCAATTGTTGAACAATAAATTTTATTTATTTATTTATTAATATTTTGACATCATATTATAGATAATTAATCATTTCACACATTGAAATATATTTGTGGTTTGATTTTTTCGTTATTATTTTTTTTGGGTTTAGATGTTATATGAATCTTTCTTGGTTAATCGTTGTTAAATTTATTTTATATAGTTAATATTTTAATTTAATTAAGAGTGTTTATTTTACAATCTTATAATTTAATATATATATATATCATATAAAATCATTATATGATAATAAAATTACAACATATTTATATTAATTTTTTTTAATAAATTTTATGTACTTTCTATTTTTACATATTTTTATTTTCCAAATGAATATAAAAGAAAATTAAATAGTTATAATTAATTTTAATTTTATATTACTAATTTTTATTCTAATTTAAAATGAGTATTTATTTTACTATTTTATAATTTAACATATATTACATAAAATTATTATATGATAATTACACTTTTATAATACAATAGAACTAAAATTATAAAAATACACAAATAATTTAACCAAAATTAATATATATAAGTATTCAAATAACAATTTTATAGAACAATAGTGTCAATATTATCAAAATAAATAATTAAAATCATACTTTAATTTTAAAATTAAAATTATTCTTTTATAACATACATTGTACCATCAAATATTTTTTTTAAAAAATAACACATGTATTACATGGGTCAACTGCTAATGAAATAGAGAAGTTATCCTTTAGGCTCTCATTTAGATTGATTATTTCTTTTATTTGTCATTTGTTATTTGTTGTTTATTATTTTCTTAGTCAATCAAACATAAAAATAACTTTTTTTTTTTAATAAATTGATCATTCTATTTTAATAAACTACACATAACCTAAAAGAAAGGAAAAAAAAAAGAAAAAGAAAAGTAGCATCATTAACCTTCCCATTTCGTTATCATTCATTCTTATTACTTACATACATAAATTTAAAAGGTTATATAAATACATCAGTTTTTTATTACTTATAATGAGAGGGAACCATTCTTTCTATATTATTATTTTTGAAATTCTTTCATATTTTATTTTATGAATTCGATTTTGAGCCCACAATGATAATCTGAATTGTTTATCTCGTAAACCTCATATTTTGAGTAAATGGAAAAGATGCGGTAAAAAATTACAATATCTCTAATTTTATTCTTCAAAAAATTGATGGATTTCTCAATGCTGATATTAAATATGCAATCTAATATACATGTAACAGAGGTGTGTACTGAAGGAGTTCCCAAAATTGGGACAATGAAAAATCGTATATATATATATATAAAATATACAAAAATCTTTCACAATAATATTGGAGCTCTATCTTTAAAATTTATGTCATTTATAAATTTGTTATGTGCCACATGCAATTTATGTCATTTATAAATTTGATTATCTTTAAAATTTTTAAAAAATTTATCACTAAATGTCACTTTTTAACATGACGTCTGTAATTAATCTCTTAATATCCTTTGCGAATTTTGATTCTCTCCATTTTATATATATAATGGAGGATTTCCAATACATTTCTAATGGTTATTAAATATGAATGTACATTTATAATTATTTTTAAATTAAAAAAAAAATCATTATACTCACCATTGGATAATATAATGGAACCTCACAATCCATTTTTTACAACAAAGTTTTTGCTTTTGAAAATGAAAATTTTTGATTCATAAAGTCCTTATATATTGTGGTGTTGTATGAACTTTAATTCATTTTATAGATAATTTTGATAATCTATTTAGTTTTATAGCCAAGTGATAACAAAAGGGTAATGCTATGGCATGTACCAAATGCAATTTATGTCATTTATAAATTTGATTATCTTTAAAAATTTTTAAAAATTTATCACTAAATGTCATTTTTTAACATGACATCTATAATTAATCTCCTAATATCCTTTGCGAATTTTGATTCTCTCCATTTCATGTATATAATGGAGGATTTCCAATACATTTTTAATGGTTATTAAATATGAATGTAAATTTATAATTATTTTTAAATTAAAAAAATCATTATACTCACCATTTGGATAATATAATGGAACCTCACAATCTATTTTTTTTACAACAAAATTTTTACTTTTGAAAATGAAAATTTTGATTCATAAAATCCTTATATATTGTGGTGTTGTATGAACTTTAATACATTTTATAGATAATTTCGATAATCTATTTAGTTTTGTAGCCAAGTGATAACAAAAGGGTAATGCTATGTTATGTGCCACATGCAATTTATGTCATTTATAAATTTGATTATCTTTAAAATTTTTTAAAAATTTATCACTAAATGTCACTTTTTAACATGACGTCTATAATTAATCTCTTAATATCCTTTGCGAATTTTGATTCTCTCCATTTTATGTATATAATGGAGGATTTCCAATACATTTCTAATGCTTATTAAATATGAATGTACATTTATAATTATTTTTAAATTTAAAAAAAATCATTATACTCACCATTGGATAATATAATGGAACCTCAAAATCCATTTTTTACAAAAAAAAATTTGCTTTTGAAAATGAAATTTTTTTATTCATAAAGTCCTTATATATTGTAGTGTTGCATGAACTTTAATGCATTTTATAGATAATTTTGATAATCTATTTAGTTCTATAGCCAAGTGATAACAAAAGGGTAATGCTATGGTATGTACCAAATGCAATTTATGTCACTTATAAATTTGATTATCTTTAAAAATTTTAAAAAATTTATCACTAAATGTCATTTTTTAACATGACATCTATAATTAATCTCTTAATATCCTTTGCGAATTTTCATTCTCTCCATTTCATGTGTATAATGGAAGATTTCCAATACATTTCTAATGGTTATTAAATATGAATGTAAATTTATAATTATTTTTAATTTAAAAAAATCATTATACTCACCATTTGGATAATATAATGGAACCTCACAATCTATTTTTTTTACAACAAAATTTTTACTTTTGAAAATGAAAATTTTGATTCATAAAATCCTTATATATTGTAGTGTTGTATGAACTTTAATGCATTTTATAGATAATTTCGATAATCTATTTAGTTTTGTAGCCAAGTGCTAACAAAAGGGTAAGGCTATGGTATGTACCACATGCAATTTATGTCACTTATAAATTTGATTATTACAAATGACATAATTAAATATTAAGAGAGTTATAACTATTAAAATTTTTTTTTTGAGTTATAATCAAACATCAGTATAACTAAATAACTCTCAGATTATAACCAAAATAATATAATAACTAACATCACGATATATCATAATTAACAATACATTAGATAATAAAAAAAAAAATACAAAATCATAACCAAAGTGCATATAGAATTTTCGTAACAAAAATCATCAATATCAGAAAAACTTCTCAAGACACTTATTAACTGCAACAAGAAGATGAAAGACTTGAAATTTTAACAAGCAACAATAAAGCTATATATCTTTATCGAATGCTCAACGAGCGCTTCAAGTTGCTGCAGTTTTCCGGGAAAGCTCGAGAAAATGACAAAGAAAGTGATCTTCTCAAAGTCAAATCATCACCATTACCTGTAGGAATGGATCCAATTCTAACTTAGAAGAGTCAGAAATATATATACTAACAAAATTTTTAACAAAAACATATAGACTATAGTATCAATTTCTATTGGAATAAAAAAATTCATATATATATATATATATCTATATTGAGTCTTCGTTTGGGAAGAGTTAAAATGGCTTAACTTTTTGATTTTTTGACTATTTTAGCTTGGCGTTTTTAGTCTTGTTTGGTTTTTGTTTTTGACTTTTTTTACTTTCGTAAGAGAAAAAGTGTAATGATTATGATTTAGATGTGACATTTTGTCTTATTGACTTACATAACCAATCTTGTCTATTGTGTTTTTTAAGTAAAAAAACCAAAACCAAACATAGCTTGAGTTACAAAATATATTTTCTTTTATTAAAGACATCTACATGTAATGGTAGATTATTATTTACTTAATGTGATCAATTGTTTGCCCTCCAACTAAAAACATATTTATTTATGTATTAATTAACAACAATCTTGGGCATATAATAATATAGAAAGCTCGGCTACTTAATTTTTACTTTTATTTTTGTTTAAAAAAAAAACAAAGAAGTGTGACCTATACAGTTTGATAATAATTAATAGATAACACTCTTATAGTAAGGTTTTTTTTAAAAAAAAAAAAAAATTAAAAGCATAGGAATGACGATTGCCCCTTCATTCTTGATTACCTGTCCTTGCCCGATCTACATTGATCAAATCAGATGTATGATCACAAACGGCTCCAACTTGCACCATGGCTTCCTGATCAATCAATGCCTCCACCTCTTCAACTTGCACCTCCCCGTCGCGTATTTCCCAATGCAGTGACTGTTGAGTCAATGAATGGTTTGATTCTGATTGGTCAATAACAACTGGCAAAGTGGGTTTAGCTTGATCCTTAGTCCTGAAAAGGTTGGCGGAGATTAGGCAAATGATGAACATGAGGAGGGGGAACACCACCATTGACGGAGCAAAGTAGATGATCCAATGGTAACCCGGGTGATGCTGACCGTGGTAGAACCACTCAATGATCATGGCAGTGCCTAGGGAGAAAGTGGCGACGCTGCTGATGAGGAAGAGTTGGAAGATTTTTGGGTTTGGAAGGTGGAAGAAAGCAATGACATTGGAGACCCCCAATGGGAGTGGTGTTTGGGCTATTGTTGGTTGATGATTCATATTGGCATGTTTGTGAATTGGAGGAAAAGAAAGAAGAAAAAAAAAATAAAAAATAAAATTGAATAAAGATGAAAATGGAGAGAGAATGAGATTTTTGTGGAATTGAAATTTTGAAAAAGGTACAACATGGATAAGGTTTTGAAAGATTGTTGAAGAATTGAAATTTGAAAAGGTGATGCAGATAAGTTTGTTACAGAATTTTGAGTGGAGTGGGGATTGTTCGTTTGTTTGTTTGCTTATTTTATTTATAGAAAATGTCTCGTAGCTCAAATTTTGTGGCTCAAAAGTGGCTCAAATGGCCAAAACGACGTCGTTTTGGCCATTTTTATGTTGTTTTGTACTCAAAACGACGTCGTTATATATTTTTAAATATTTCATATTTATCAGAGAATGTGAGATTTATTACTAAAATAAATAAATAATAATAATTAAAATTGTGAGATTACCATGGGAAATAATGGGGATCAAAGTCTTGCTCACTGTGTAATTGTAATTCCAAATTGAGTAACTAATCAAAAATCATTCTCAATTTAACTTGTTCCAAATAGTGAAATCATGAAAACCCAAAATTATATTCTCATTTTCTCTCAAAATTCCTGTCATCTAAATTGAGTTTTAGGATTTAACCTTAATTTGACTGACACCCATTCAAATTAATTTGAATTATCCAAGCCCAAGTCCAGAGGCCAAGACCCGATACGATGACAGGTGCTATCTGCCTCCAACTTTGTGACGAATTTAAATCACGAAAATCAAATTTTCCCAAAAAAGGCAAGGGTGAGACTGACTACCTACTACTTCAATATGGATACGAACTGAGTCCAAGCCGAATCTCACTGCTAGGAGAAATATTTGGCAATCTTAGAACATTGCTCCACACCACACATGTTAGGACACTTGTCCTCTTGTCTACTCAAAGTGATGAAATCCACACATTCATACCATCCCCATGAGGAGGGACTCAAATGATACCACTGTCCACAGATCACCTTCCGACTAAGTTAAATTTGCATCTTTGTTCTTTTACTAAAGAAAGGAATTGAAGATGTGTACCTGCAATTCTGCAAAAAACAATGAACAGCCTTCATCGACCCAACCAGAGAACAATTTGTATAAATTCTAGTAGTCTACAAAAATTCCCCTTCTGAGGAGGAGGACAAACATTTTAGTCGCATCACAAAAAGTTTTTGTCAACTGAATCAGCTCAGAAACTGCCCTTGTACTGGAGCTCACATCTTTCCCTTCATCGAGTTCGGCAAACTTTCTTGGTTATCAGTAAATCTTGAAATCTAAACAAATTTTGATACCCCCAAAGGATTGTCAATGAGTTTACTTGATGGTAATGTAGCGATTTGAACCATGTTTGGACCAGTAATCCTTGAGATCCAGTGGTATCGACAAATCATGGCCACCTGCTGCCAGCCGACTAAGCAATCTAGTAAAAACACTTCCGCTCATTTTCCGGCCGCCCATTCGCACGTGTCGTTTGTTTGGCATCTGAGGCAGTGGATATGCAGAGAGTGTCGTTGTGCAGCATGAGGACTGCCAACCACCATTTCCCCATTTGTAGCACTGCCGTGGCAGTCCAGTGCATGAGCAAACAGGTGGCGACATGGTAGACTCGTCAAAATTAACCTCGTTAATCAAACCAAGTTCCTGCGCATCCCACTCAGCTTTTGACCCATCGGTCGTAACATGCCTATTCAAATCCTCACCCACTTTCTTTCCCTTCTTCGACACCTTGGATGAAACAGCCTTGTTCTCATTTGCTCGTTTTGCTTGGTGTGAATTTACAGCTTCAGATGGAATTGTTGGCATTGGAAAGGTATCGGTTATTTGTGCTTCCCTTCTGTTGTAAGCGGCTTCAGCGGCACTGGCGGCAGGATGATTTGTTGGGTGGTGCATACGCTTTGTTCCATGTTGGATTCCATAACCTAATGTACCATTCATGGAGTTCTCTTGAAACCGAAGGGCTGCAATCGCACTGTCTCGCTCCCTGAAAGCATTATTCCGTGCAGCAATTGCTTCATCTCGCTGCTTGACTGCCTCGTTTCGCTCCTCTATGGCTGCATTTTTTTCAGTTATTGCCCTATTCATTTCTTCAACAGCTGCATTCTTCTCAGCAATTATTTGCATGATCTTCTTATTCATAAGGCAGGCATTTGCTTCCTTCATCTGATGCTGGGGCATCATATTCCACTGCAACAATAAACAGAATGACGGTAGAAATTCTCGCAATTATCAATTCAGAGGAAACCAGAATTGCACACCAAAAGCAAAAATTGAAAAAAACTAGGACCGGTTTCTATTTCCCTCCTCCTCTTTATGCGTGTAGAAATGAAAAATGGTTGTAACTGTTATTTGGGAAAAACACTGAATGTATAGGGGAAAAAAAAAAAAACACCTGAACAAATCAAAATTTAAAATCAAAAACTTGGGCAGTTATACAGAGGTAATTTTGGCATGAAAAAAATGTGACATAGCTTCACGAAGTGAGTTGTGTGTTTTATATAAAAGAATACATTATTGAGCGAATTACATTTTTCACCCTTGAACTTTCACCCAATTTCATTTTGGTACCTCATCTTATAATTACAACAATTAAATCTTCAGACTTCAACCCGTGTTTCAATGTGGTCCTCCCATCACCCCACCATTTGAAATCTGAGTGAGTTGAAACATGAGAGACCGAAGTGAAATTCATTTGAATGTTTGAGGATGAAAAATTTAATTTACCCTATATTATTGTTTATTCACTTAATATTTGCAACAAATGATTGACACATTGTTATTACCGGAGTGTGCACTCCTTTGTAGTAATCCATCCTATGCCACCCATGTTCAGGTTTCCCACCATCATCCATCTTAAGTCCTTGTAATTGACAGTAAAAGAAGAGATTGACTCAAAGCTGCAGCTCACTGTTCAGATTATCTAGTGTATCTCCTTGTGTTCAGCAGAAGGATTTCCCTATATTTTGAGAAAGAAAACCAGAAGAGATTGTGAGTCAACAAATAAAAGGCAATGCTGCTAAAAGGGTGTTCTACTGATTTGGGGAATGGAGGTGAACATCAATTCCCAGAGAATACTTATCGCCCAACAGATCACGGCCCCAAAACAATAAAACAATGAAATCTTTTTACTTGTATAAGAAAATGCATGATGAACTAATTTATCAAGGATAAGTCACACACACTAGATAGCATAGAAGAAATATCCCCACCAATGAAAAACGGAGAAACATCCCACTAAATCTATATGGTCCATTCGATTTGAAAAGAAGATTCATAATCTCATAACAGCCATTTCAACTGCAAACAAGAATGCTTGAATATTTTCATTATAGACGATTAAACAAAGAAACAATACACAAATAACAAACCATTTCAATGCATTTTTCAACCCTTTTTTAGTAAACCACACGTGAGAATGAATATTTTGATGGAATCATTCCATTCCATCTCATTCCAATGAACCAAACACTACCTTACATGTTTAAGTTCATCATTGAGGCTTATACAGGAAAAGAGAACCTAAGCTATCGTAAAAGCAGGTGTCTGAATTCGTCTATATTCCTACTTGTATTGCCACTGGTTCTGCAGCTTAGTTCACACACACACACACACACACACAAAAGAAGAAAACAGAAGAGGCAAGAAACCGAAGCGGCACAACCACAGAAGGATCGTGGGTGCTCAAGGAAAATGAGAATTAACTAACCACAAATCCAGTGCTGTTGTGTACCTCAAACAGCTAGGACCTGATTTTTGGTGCTATAGTACGGATTCCCCACCAGGATTCGTTGCGCATGCAAAAAATTTGATCACCCAGTGAAGCAGCCCATCAAGACCACGAGAAAATTACTAATAAGAATGGAAGCATTCACTTCAGGTTGGCATTTTCACCAATAACGTTAAAAAATGATCAACACGGTTATCACAAGCCAATGTAGGTCCTATGCATCAATACAGCTTAAAGAGCCGTTAGAACACACAGATATTCTAACAGAGAGTCTATCCTGGGCCATTGGCACAAATATTGATGATATATTGGGAACAACAACAATAGAAGTTTCAAACAAAATGAAAATTCAACAGGTCTCCACTGCCAAAACATCACCTGCTTATTAAAAAAATGAAGTGCAGCGTCTCAACAATTGGAAATCAAAACACACACAATTGCACAATTTCGTAATATTGACAGTAAATAATGTGTCAATGAGAATAGTCCCATATCGCTTGACTAAAAGGTTCTCAGGCTCGATAATCCTCTTCATACTCGAACAAGAATTACTTTATGGTGACCATTTTTGAAAGACCTAATTGAAAAAATAACACTGTTAAACATGAATGTACATGTGCCAGCAAGGCAACCTCTAGCACAGCAGACAATCAACAGATACAACATCAACTTTCCATCAGAAGAAAATGATATAGAAAGTCCACCTGAATCTTTATCAGAAATCAGCAACATATCCATCACTAACACCCCACCCCAGTACATAACACCCAATATGAAAGCATGTTTACATCATTCAAGTTAGGATCTCCTCAAGCAACAGATTACTTCTTATTCAATGAGCGTCAACCTATCCAGAAAAGAAAAAGAAAAACATTATTGTTGTATTCATTTTGTATAACCATTATTCAAGTCACCAAAAGGAAGTTGAAGACATCTGCTAAAACAAGAGAATATGTTGAGTCCCATCATGAAAACACACCACAAACTTCCTCAAGCAACAGATTACTTATTCAATGAGCGTCAACCTATCCAGAAAAGAAAAAGAAAAACATTATTGTTGTATTCATTTTGTATAACCATTATTCAAGTCACCAAAAGGAAGTTGAAGACATCTGCTAAAACAAGAGAATATGTTGAGTCCCATCATGAAAACACACCACAAACTTGGCTTAATTAGCATGTTACATACTTTTTAAAGATAAATACAGACCTTTCTAAGATTTTAGCTCTATGTTTCTGATGAATTCTTAAAAGTGTATATTTTGTTGTTTTGAGTATTAATGCACTTTTATTATTATAATTCCCTCCATTTATATTTAGTTGTGATTTTAATAAATTCATTTTATCTTTGTTGGAAATAAAAAGGGAAGAAAAGGCTTGAACTTTATTCAAACATAGTGCACGTGTGAGCCTAGTGACGTAAAAGGCATTACAGTGCATTATAGCTAATTAAGTCCATGAGAAAGGCAATTTAATGCCTCTGCTCCACGTCAGGCGAATTGGAATTGGATGGAATGGTGGATGGCCTGGCTCTTCTTTTGCGCATATGGCATGGCATGAAGCCGAGAAAAAAAGAGCTTAGTAATAAAAGCAGTATTCCTGCTCTATACATCGTCTGCACCGCCCCAAACATCCATTCAATTTACGGAATATATTTATTAGGTTAGAGTTTTTAGAGTTTCATATAAATACATACAAATACTCATTATTTGCGAGGAGACAGATTGTAAGGAGGCGAACCAAGAGGAGAAAGAATGAAGTTAAATCCAATATCTTTTCTTTTATTCTTCAGATCTTTTTATTCATATATTTTCCATGTATTCTGGATCCATGAATAGCTAAACTTTTAACTAAGGTTGAGGATGAAACATCATTGATGATGATAACATCTATTCATGAGATCTGATTTACCCATATTTTATTTAACGGTTGAATTGTTCTTGCTTCAAATCAATTGATAAAGATATAGATTCGGTATATGAGTTCAATCATTTTTTTTCTCATGATTTAGGATTATTTTAATCAATTGAATGCTTGGTTTATATTTTTGACAATAAAATCAGATATTTATTGTGATGTTTTTTTAATGGATGCATTAAATAATTTGATTTTAAATATTTAAGCGAAGAAGATCATGCTTTAGATTTTTGAAAGTGATTGAATGATATATCAGGATCGTGGGTGCTCAAGGAAAATCAGAATTAACTGAATAAATGATCATGAATGTGTTACTATGTATTAATGAGTGTGGATTCAGAAACCTTAATCCCATTAACCTGATTACATTCACTTGTTTGGTTAACTTGCTGTTAGATTTAATTATTTATTTATTCACGTTCAGAATTTCATTTCAAACAAATTAAAAATTTGTTAATTAGGTTAAGGGTTCAATTGAATTCAAATTAATTAGTTTTCTCATAAATCACAAGTCCATGCGGGATCGACCTCATGCTTGTCAAACTATAGTTGGGTACGGTTTGTGTGCTTGCAAGTGCAATAAAATCTCACAACAGTTTCAGCTGAAATTTATTAAAAGATCTCAAATGAATCACCTACCTTATCCATACAAGGAGGTCGGGTTTATCAATTCTTTCATACAAGCAAGTACATGCACAAACTACTACTTTGCAATCTCAAAATTGAAGCTTCCAAGACAATTTATTTTGCCAAATGACAAAAAGCTAAATTCAGATCAAATTTTCAAATTAGACAAAACATCAGGGTTTGCTGTTGTTAGATTGGATTTGCAATCAGATTTGAAGGTCTAATTCTCAACTTTCAAACCATTAGTTAGGGTTGTTCAAATATCTACCCAGCCCGCCTAACCCAAACCAGACTGATCATCCATAGACAGTTTCGACACTAGTTTGGGTCAGTGGTAGTTTGAAGTTGCTAATTTTTTTTGTTTAATGGTAGGGCATCGTAATAGAAATTAAAAAAAAAAAAAAAAGCCATCCACCCCGATCGGACCGATATATTAAAGAAAAATAATTTTTTACCCACATGTCTTCTTTTTATTAGTTAAAAATATTTGGGCAAATTACCAACATCCCCCTCGAGGTTTGACTAAAATACGGATTTCTCCCTGAGGTTTGAGAAATTACATCCCACCCTCTGAGGTTTATATTTTCATAACAAATTGCCCCTAATGTTTATATTAATATAACAAATTGCCACCTTATTTGTTATGCAAATATAACCTTTAGGGGGCAATTTGTAATTTCCCAAACCTCAGGAGAAAATCTGTATTTTAGTCCAACCTCAAGGGAGGTGTTGGTAATTTGCCCAAAATATTACAATCTTATCTTTTTTAACTAATGAGGTCTCATCTCATGCAAAGACCTAGATATCATCATTACACCTTATTCAACTTTTTGGCTAGATATAGTCATTACACCTTATCGTTTCAGACTTCTTAAACAAAACCTGAAGCCTCTTCAAGCCTTTGCTATCGTTGCAGCTTTCTCATCGAAGATCATTTCACCTTCGCCATTAAAGATCCCTTCGCCTTCACCATCACCATCACCATCACCATCACCATCGCCTTCACCTCCAAAAATTGCTTCGCCACCGCTTCTCAGTCTCGAAAATTTCCCCCTCACCCCTCCTCCTCTCTTTGCTTCACACCCCAAAACCCCCTCTGTCCAAAATCTGCTCTGAACCCTCATCCTCTCTCTCCTTCATAGCCGAAGCCCATTCTCTCTAAAATCTAGTCTCTCTCAAGTCTCACTATGTCTTTTACCTCTTCCCTCTCAACTCTCACTGTCTCTTTCCTCCTCTCAAGTCTCACTATTGTGTTTCTCACCCTCCCCTTTAATCTTTGTCTTTTACCCCTCTGGCATAAAATGGAGTTAGAAATGTTGTTTTAATTTTTGAGTTACTAGTATGATTTTGCAACATGGCATAGCAGTCGATTTCGACACTCATCGGAAAATTATTCAACCTGAATATGTCCAGCTTCAAACATCTAGTCAGTCAAATTCAAGTGCTTTCATCTTCAACCCAAGGTAATCAGTTCAGGTGACAGACAATGAACCCGACTCGACTCAAGAACACCCTTACCATTAGTTTAATTTGATGCAGTAGGTAACCTTTACTACCAACCATATTGAACACTAGCAACACATAAGTATAACTTAAGTAAAAGCACAAGAGATGCTAGGATTTAAATTGTATAGCACACGCACACCCACACGCACACCCACACCCATACACAAAGCATACCTAACTTTAAAGTGCTCCGTACCAAATTTTATGCACCACAACTAGCCCCTATTGGCAGACACATCATCCATTTAGCTACTCCTAAACCATATGGTCTAAAGAACTCAACTTGTTTTTCTAGTACCAATTCAACAACCCATAAACCATTTTGCAAAATCAAAACTAGTTGTCTAGTTCAAAAATAACATCAATCCATTAACATTCAACTATAAAACCACCAAACCACATTATTAATTGCACATGATCTTAATCCAGATAAGCGTGAATAGATATAGATACGTATATATGAGTTGAACATACACATCAATTTTTTAGATATGAAAATTTTTAAAAGCTAAACAAGCACAACAAATCTCAAAACAGTATAGAACTATGTTCCAAAAAAACATCAATCAGATTCAAAAGCACGAAGCTTTGGAGTCAATAGTCATGAATATCAACAAAACTAGGGTTTCGAGCAGATTAATCGTCAAAACCAAAGCACTTGTGCACAATGCTACAAAAGTATGTATATGAGTTAGATTATTAATAGCAGGACAAAGAACACGATAAGAAATCGAATCGAAGGAAAAGTTTTTGAGTTGAAGAGGCAAAATTACAGAGAAAGATGATGATATGAGGATTGAGCTGTCCAAGAATCAGCGTAGACTAACATGGAAACATGTCGCCGATACTACTTCCGATGAAGACTTCCATAGATAGAGAGAGAGAGAGAGAGAGAGAGTTTTGCCTTCCTTTTCTTCGAATGGTCTTAGCGGTGTCCGATTTATTGCTCCCTCGTACAGATGCTACTGATTTTATTAGTAGTGTGTAGTTTTTTTTTTTTTCTTCTGAGGTTGGTGAATTTATTTTATTTATTTAATTTTTTTAACTTGGTTGCTTTCTTTGTTGAGAAATAACAACAGTGAAATAGAGAAAAAAATTAGGGTGAAACACAATGGGCGTGTTTGGTAACGTTTACGTTTTCAGTTTATATTTACAAAAATTTTATAAACTGGTTTTTGTTTATTTTTTGTTTATTTTTAGAAAAACATAAACTACAAACGCGTTTGGTAATTGACAAAATGTTTAAAAAAATTTAAAAATATAAAAAAAAGTGAGAAATGACAAGTGGCGGCAAGTGGCGGCGGAAGACGGTGATGGAAAGTGATGACGGTGGGTGGTGGGTAGCTGGTGCTATCCAGGGTGGCACATACCTACTGAATATAACATGGATGAATTGAGTTGAGTAGTACTACTCATGATTCACGAGTCATGATGACCTTCGTTTCAATCAAATATATGAGTTGCTGCTGTCCGTTGAGAATTTTTAACGAGTTTTTTGCCCACAAATCCTACGGCACTGTGTCTTGCAATAAGGACCACAAGTATTTTGTCAGTTTTTAAACTCCCTTAATGTACGATTCTCCTTGACACCAAAATTAATAATTCAAGGACTATAATCAATTATTGAGGGAAAAAGATAAATAATTAATATTATTTATATTCTCAATATGCCGCAACACATGTATTTTAATTATCAAATAGGCCGTAAAGTTAGAACACATAATTTATTTTCTGCTTTGATTGCATGTTTGAAATCAAAACATTCATACACACAAGTGAAGAGCAAGCAATTTAACATGTGAACAAGAATGAGCCCACCCACCACCACCACCACCCACCGTCACCACTTTCCACCACCGTCTTCTGCCGCCACTTGCCACCACTTGTCATTTCTTACTCTTTTTTATAATTTTAAAATTTTTAAAATATTTTGTCAATTACCAAACGCGTTTGTAGTTTATATTTTTCTAAAAATAAACAAAAAATAAACAAAAACCAGTTTATAAGATTTTTGTAAATATAAACTGAAAATGTAAACGTTACCAAACGGACCCTAATAATGTGATCTTGTGAACAATTTAGTCTTTTTTTTTTCTTCTTATAAATGTAAAGATCCCATTAAAGTGAAAATTACAAAAAATGGTAGTCACTTACATGTTTGGATTTAATTTGAGTACTACTATTAGCACCTACCGTTCTTCTTTGGACCCCTTATCTCTTTTATTTTTTTTAATTCCAATTTTGTCCAATTATGAAGTTACATTTTTACCCTCATCCTTACCATTCTAACCCTAATTTTCCAAACCCTAACCTCTCTCAACTCCGGTTACTGCCTTCACCTGCCGCCGGCCAGCACCTCACTGCCATCTGCAGCCACCCCGCCCTTCGCCGCCGGTCGGAGCCACCCAGCCTCTCACTACCAGTCTAATCCTACCAGTCACCTCCTCCTGTCGGCTCTTCTTTCTTACCACCTTGATTGGTGGGTTCTCTGTACTTCCTCAATTTCTTCTTCATCACATTCTTCACTTCCTAATACACCGATGTCCGAATCACTACCGACATCGATACTCTCTAGGCTCCATATGATCTCTTAAAACCTCTATTTACGTTTGATTCTTGAAGAACACAAAAAGATGAGATATGAAATGAGGCGTTGTTAATTCGAGATTCGTCGAAGAAGGTGAGAACTAAAGATGAAATAAAGTGTATAGACATTGTGGATGATAATGAGGAAGAAACCATGGATGAGTGATCTAAAAATACAAGTGAATCATCAAGCCTGTGACTTATAAGTTGCACACTGTTGATTTATAAGGAAGATGACAAGAGTAGAGATTTTTATTTATTATTATTTTTTTGTTAAATCTATAAATTAAAATGGATATCATGAAACTTGTCTATCAAAATCTTCAGTTTTCTTTTTGGGTCTTCTGAATTGATTGTGTTCTGCAATTGTTGAGTTGGTTTGGGTTGGATTTGGGGGATTAGGCTTTGGAAATAGAAAGGGTGGAGGTCGCCAGTGAGGGTGGAGGTCCCCGGAAAGAAGGTCGTCGACGGTGAAGAGTTGTTGACGATGGAAAGGATTGATAGAAGAAAAAGAGTTGAGGTCCAAAGAAGAAGGGTATAGATGGTATTAAGGTGGGGTTTCAAAGAAAAGAGGAGAGGGTTACTGTGATATCCCTGTTCCGTAATATGTTAATTGGTCCTTAACATGAATGTGATTATGTGTTTCATATGATTTTGTGTGCCATTATGTGAAAATATGTGGTTTTGAATTTCTATCTGTTCACCGTAGGAATATCTGTTTGATTATCTGCTCTGGAAATTAATTGAAGGCCTTATCAGCCACGAGAACCGAAATTGACTACGCCATTGTGATTAGCGTAATTTTTAGAGCCTACGGTGAAATTTAATTGGAAATTGAGTTGGATCAAAATAATTAGATTCAGAATGATTAATTAAGTGCCCAATTATTTAATATTGATATTTTTGATTAGTGGGACTTACCTTAAGGGCACTATACACTCAATATCTCCCTTTTATTTCATTTGGCTGATTTTGAGCTCCTTAGAGAGTGAGAGAACCGAATTAAAAAGAGTGAGTGTAGGAGATTGAAGGTTTCTCAAAAAGCTTGAAGATTTTGGAGTGTAACTCAAGAATTAAGCATAAGTTTGGGAAGATTAAAGCTCCTAGGTGAGTAATCAACCCTTAACATATGAATTAGAGTTGTGATTTGTGAATTGAAGATTAAATAGTGATCTAAGCAAGAAATGAGTTGGTTTTGTTGAACTGAAAGTCATAGAACACATGCATGTAAGGAATTGCTATAAATTTCCATGTTTGAGCACAATGTGTATGATCTATGTTGAATTTTTGGTTTAAGTCCATGTATTTGATCACCTCTTCACCAATTAAGTTGAAAATAATAGGTGTCTCCCACATGCATGTGCAAATCATGGAGGTGTTGGTCTTGAATGTTTGAATTTAATGTGTTGGTCATGAGTTTGGGTCAATTTGGGCCATGCATGTGTTTGATTCATGGAATTGAGCTTCATAATGTTGTAATTTAGTGTTTGTACCATGTTAGTACATGTATATGTGGAGTTTGAGCTGAAATAATGTATTTAGAGCCTTTGAATATCAAGTTGAAGCTCAAGAACATGTTCTGGAAAACCTAGAATTTTTGATGTCTGCTCGAGCGGGGGAACCGCCGCTCGAGCGGGAAATACGAGCTTCCAATATTTTCTGCAGACTTGACGTCCGCTCGAACGGGGAAGTTCACGCTCAAGCAGGGAGCTATGTAGACCGAGTTCGTGCTCCAACGTCCGAGTGCGCGCTCGAGCGTAAATTTGATGTAACCAGTACTTTTGCAGACCTCATGGGTCCGCTCGAGCGGGGAAGTCCACGCTCGAGCGGGAACCCTGTTTTCTGAAATTTTGTTTATGCATTCTGTGTTTCGTTTTCCGTCCTCTTTCACTTGTAAGCACTCTTAGGCATGCATTGAACATTGTAAATAAGATAAGAAGATAAGAATGAAGCCTAAAGAGGAATATGTGAATTAAGGAACGAATTGAATCGTTTGTGACCCGTATGTGCTATGTGATGTGTAGGGTCAAGCTCCAGGGCAAACCAACCAACCGATCACTGTGAGTAATATCTTAACAAAGATATCTGAAATATGTTGTTGTCCAAATTACTTACTTCTATGTAAGTTTTATAAGTTCGTTGATTCGATTGGTGGACAATGTTGCTATGCCAAATGAATGAGCTAGAGGCCGTTTTGACAAGAATGAACATATGGGCCAGATGCCGTTTTGACATGAATAAATGGGCCAGAGGGCGTTTTGACATGAATGAATGGGCCAGAGGCCGTTTTGACACGAACGAATGAATGGGCCAGAGGCCGTTTCGACATGAATAAATGAATGGGCCAGAGGCCAGTTTGATACGAATAAATGGATGGGCCAAAGGCCAGTTGACATAAATGAAAATCTGAATTGGGCCCAAGGCCGTTTGAAGTATGTTGTTCTACATATCGTTTGTATAACTTCTTTATTTGATATTATTCACTAGGTTATCGCTTACGTTCATTCATGTGTTTATAGGTGAGCCAAGAGAAGTCCAGCCCCAGCCCCAGTGATGTCTGTGTGGAACAACAAAGGTTTTGAAGAGTCAGCCCTTGTGTCTCACACACGAGACCTGCCTTCGCCTATTGTCATTCTGTTTTATTTTGTCATGTGGGCGAAGTCTTTGAATATGTTGTATATAGTTTTCTTGGGTTGACTTAGACTTATATGATCCTGTATGTACAGAACCTTGTGTAGTACATATTTTGTAGTGAGTTATTAATATGCATACGTATGGTTTGTTATGATGTGCCATGTAAGCACAACTCTATGGACAAAGTTTTAAACTGCTTCCGTTTGGCCCCCATTAATTCTGTTAACATATATTTGGTTTGGTTTGAGGCCGCAGGTAATCTCATGATTACTGGCCGGTTATGTCCTCAACCCACAGGGGCGGGTTCGAGTCATGACAGTTTCAATTATGTGAGTGGGGGTTTAAAGAAGTGGGGAGTCCAAAGGAAATAGGTAGGGCCATTTAGCAGCACTCTTTAGTTTTTTAGGGACAAAAGTGATTTTCTCAAAATGTAAAATTACATATTTGGACAATTTGTACAATAGAAGTTTTGGATTTTCCCTCATTCTAGAACAAATCACACATTACGAACAAAAACCTAAACTCTAATGTAACACTTCAATAACGTAACATTTCAATGTAGCACACTAAAAAAACTCATTGGTGTACTTTTCCCAAACGTAATAACGTAACACTCAAAAAAATTTTTTGGTGTACTTTTTCCAAATGTAACGCTCCAATGTAAAAAAATTAAAAAAAAAAATTTCCTTAGTGTATTTTTCCCAAACATAACACTTCAATCAGTGTAATCTCAAGCGTAA